ATTGTATGAGGCCTCAGTGAGTGACAGGTAAAATTGTAATGGAAAGAATACAGTAACTGGTAGTGTTGATAGAATGTAAATAACCAATAATATGTATCTATGTGCTTTCAGGATGAGAACACATTTTCAATGTGGATGTCTTAAACATGTTTACATTGCATTATTCATGACAACTGTCAAACATGTCAATTGTCTTTCATATCTAGTGGGTGAAACCATATCCATTGTCTCCTGTTATTTTGAGCATGAATAAAATATGATGTGTTGAACACCTAGCCTACTGCTAGCTTCCCTGATAGAAACTGTAAAAAGCCAGCCACGGTGAGGGTTTATTTTACTGTAAAACATATGTATGTAAACACCATTACAAGGTAACCTCTGAGCAGTAAACATTCCTTGTAGTTCACTTGAAATATTAGGATTCATGCTTACCACACATAGCCATAAAGGACACGCCTGCACACACACGCGCACACACACACACACACACACTTACCATTGAAATACTTTGGAACCTGTTATTTCTGACAGTCGTGTGACCCAAAGAAATATTCACTGTGAACAAGGCACTCAGGAATGAATGGTGATATGACAGGTTGACAGGAGGGAGAGGTAAACAAACACCACAGTGAAATCACTTAAGGCTGACCTGGCTACTGGAATCCAGTTGAATTTGATATAGGCTACACTGGAAGGTGTCACTCAGATTGTGACAGTCCAGAGTTCAGAACTGAAGGGTAATATTTTTTCCACAAAAACACTAATCTTCACACAAACAAAAACATAAATAAAACATTACTGATCTAGATACATATCTAATGAATCTGTAATGGCGCAAATGAATTGATATCTATATATACACATTCGAAATAATTATATTATATCAACATTCACAGGGCTACTGTAGGCAACCTGACCTACAGAACCAGATACCGTTCTCTAAACGCGTTCCACAACACCATTCAATGCCATAAAAGTCACTAAGTCTCGGGGGGAGGAGCCCAGAACAACTACAATACTTCGGAGCTTTCCGTGGCTCGAAAGCATGCACATTCTAACGAACTATACGAAGGATCAGCAAACCAAATAGGCTCTACAGTTGTACTCACCTTTTAGTTGCTGGTAGCTTAGCACCGACTAAGTTAACAGAGAGGACTGACCAGAGACACTAATAAAGGATCTACATTAATTAATTAATTAATTAATCAAAGATAAAGTGGAAAGGCCAACACATCCAAAAACTGCCTCGGACTAGGATCGTGTCGGGTTGAACACTTTGCAATATCATGGAAATATCGGATTTGTAAACGCCGACAGTCTTCTACAAAAACAAGAGGGGACAAGAGTTAACGTTAGTTACACCAGTATGCCTAGCCTATTCTCTAAAGAAGATGCTGTAAAATTGAAATAAACAGCTTGAGGGACTTTTGATGCCTTGCATCCTTACGTCTCCACATGGATCAACCTCTCTAACCCAAGCATCCTTTGGATTTGCCAGTCTTTCTAGCTCTGCACAACGGGTAAGTAGCCTATCATATCCAAAGAACGAGAAGTCTCATAATTTGTAGCCTACTGTTATAAGTTCGTTACTTTCTCAAAATTGTTTGTTGACAACCTTTCTTTAGACTGGTAGGACATATAGTAACTTCAACTTCCTGCGTCTGTCTTGTGTGGTATCCAGGTGTCCGTTCGATATGTTATGGTTTGTTCGGACTAGCTGGAGCTGAGGCTGGGAACTCGCTTTCCTCCAAATAACCTACAGACATATCGATTGTTATTATATTGGTATCTAAACCTTCGGGGTGTTCTCGTGTGTTTTTAGAGATTGCGGTTGGAAAGACATAACTTGGAAAATTGTTATCCCCCATTTACAAATGGGATTGTCTGATTCAATACCTCTTTAGTTTGTGAGGGCAGTTGAACTAGTCGAAATAAAACTGCTAAAGTACACCTGGGTCGACAGACACATTAAGGTATTTTACGCGCACGGTCATACATTAAATTCAACTACACGTACTGTAAATCTTTAGCAACGCATTGATTTAGCCTACTACAATTAATCGTCATTGAGAACATGTACAATGATTCAGCATACGCTCACCTAAAATATTCCCTCCCGATTTCCATTGGTAATAAAAGCACACACTAATCTTACCAGCTGACTTGACTCAAAATGTATTTGTGCAGACGTTCTAATTTCAACATGTTTTGTGTGTAAAACAGCAAAGTTAGGCTACCACATAAATGGGGCCATTTATAACATCAATCTAACATGGAAGGTACCTGACCCTTCCATGTAACCAGAATGCAATTACTCAACTGTGCACTGTAACTGCAGATTAAATATTGTTTTAGAATGTATGAAATAAAATACACGTGCCTAGGTTTTAAATGAACTACATTGTAGGCATGTGTAGAAGAATATTATACATTGGAAAAAAAATAGAACAGAATGGAATATGACTATGGATTCCATGTAAGTGCATGGTCTTTGAGCTAAAGGATGACCAAGTTGAGTTTGTCATCAAATTGATGCACTGTGCATTAAAATCTAACTTAAAACATGAAGAAAGTGGTTACATTATATGGTTATTTTGCTAGATTGTATTCCTGCTTTGGTAGGATCATGTAAATTCCCATTTGGACTGTTCACCCGTGAACACTCCCACTAACTGTATTCCTGGTTAGGCAAGTCATTGAGTATTAATTAATGGAGGTGCAAATCAAGGTACATCCACAACATTGTTTATTTGGCATATTTCAGAACAGGGTTGTTTTTAATGCTTAAAAGATGGCAAGAACAGGAAACAAACAAACACACATGCACACACACACAGACCTTATGAAATAGTTGCAATGGAACAGGGAGTGAGTGACCTTTCGTCTATCTTGAGTGGGCGAATGTAATTATTATCATCCGTGGACTGAGGACCATGGTGACGTCTCTGTGGATGTATGTGGGAGTAGTGGTTTCCCTGTAGGGCAAGCACATCACTTCCAATACACTGGAATAGGGAACTGTCCTTCCATTAATTGGCCTGGGAACATTGGGCAGGGGCCCTCTACCAGGTTCATATTCGTGCACTGCACAATACAGTGTGCAGAAGCTCCTAATTTGCTCTCATGGCTCTCGAGTTGAGTTGCTCTCTGCCTTGCCTCCCTCAGAGTCCTTCAGCCATGAGTGTAGCATCCGGTGTGCAGCAGTAACAACCTCTAGTCTAGCCTCCAGTCTGCTGGCTAAGCTACTTATTTACAGAGACACTGTGGCCCTTAGCTTTCAACACTATGTCTCCATAATATAACTAAATAAGCAATTAGAGGTCCTATTGCAAATGGTGAACATACACTGAGTATACCAAACATCAGGAACACCTTCCTAATATTGAGAACCACCTCAATTCGTCAGGGCATGGACTCTACAAGGTGTCGAAAGCGTTCCACAGGGATGCTGGCCCATGTTGACTCCAATGTTTCCGACAGTTGTGGCAAGTTGGCTGGATGTCCTTTGGGTGGTGGACCATTCTTGATACACACGGGAAACTGTTGAGCGTGAAAAAACCAGCAGCGTTGCAGTTCTTGACACAAACTGGTACGCCTGGCACCTACTACCATACCCCGTTCAAAGGCATTTACATTTTTTGTCTTGCCCATTCACCCACTGAATGGCACACATACACAATCCATGTCTCAATTGTCTCAAGGCTTAAAAATCCTTCTTTAACCTGTCTCCTCCCCTTAATCTACACAGTTTGAAGTGGATTTAACAAGTGACATCAATAAGGGATCATAGCTTTCACCTGGATTCACCTGGTCAGTCTATGTCATGGAAAGAGCAGGTGTACTTAATGCTTTGTACAGTCAGTGTGCATGTCAATACACAAATGCCAATGCCAATGCCATACACCATGCATAAATACTTAATCATATACTAACAGCACCTATCTATCTAGAGGGGCCATTTGAATCATGGTGTTGATTTGAAACTGGTAAAGTGGTGTACGTGACTTGAAAATGTTGTGTAAAGTGATTATACTGAAATCAAAGCCTTTTGTTTTGGGTTGGCTTTAAATGTTATAATCTTGTTTTGTGTTATGGATCTACACAGATTAAAGGGATACCAACAAATAGTAAGTTATTGTAAGTTATTTCAACATCACGTCATTTTGGATGATGCTTCTGTAGAAAACAAGATCTGTTGATGAGACTTTTACTGTCACTACTTTGTGTGGTGAGGAGAAATTGTTACAGTCACTTGTCAAAGTGATTTATCATGAGGCATTGAAAGTTGACTAGTTTTACAAGATCTCCCAGGTTTGGGCATGTCTGTGGTTTTGGGCATGCAGCTCAGTGCTGTTATGGAAGATCCTCTTCCTTTTACCGTAATGACTTAAGTAAAGACAACTCTTAAACAAATCATGGGCCCTCTATAATCCAATGACTGCTTCTGTCAGTGTGTGACATTCTCAAATGGCCTCATCCGAAGTCTCCTTTAAAACAGAAGAATAATTAATTTCTGGTCTAACTAGGGAGTAAGGGAGGGGGATTCCTTTCGACCAGATTCTGCAGTGTACTGTTTTACAGTACTGCAGAACCTAGTGCCTTTATTGTGAGAACTATTCGCACAGAAATGTACATCTGCTATCTGCAGATGTCTTTCTTGCAAAACATATTTAAAGTCACTTGGTACATCTGACTGATAATCCTTGCGAAAAACAATTGCACCAAATTAGTTAAACAGACCATTTGAAATGCACGCCTGCTAAATCGTCTTTACCAGGGAAGCTGGGTGCCCTCCTGTCGCGCTGCTATTATTAGCCTATCACGCATATGCTCGCTATCAACGAGGAGGGGCCCACCAGCCGGGCACACTGTAAAGAATGTGCTGCATTGTCTCTTGTGGCAAGGCGTGTGCACGGAGGTGTTTAGTCAATCAGGCACCAATTATAGCTATCTCGTCGGGGGATCAGCTGTGTGTGTGTGCTGTAAGATTGGCCGCCTGAATGGAGCTGGGTTCGCAGCTGACGTGATGTAACATCATGGACGCCTGCTATCTCTTAGCCACTGTGTGTCCGTTATCAATGCTGTGGGGGGGGGCATCAGGGTTTGGTTGCGTAATGGATGACATTGCTGTGGAAGACCCCCTGCTCTGGAAGAAATGCCAAAATGTGGAATATATTGGGTATATTTCTGTTAAAGTCAAAGCCTCTGTTGATAGTGATAAAGACATCTTGACCATTCCATTATTAAAAACTATGTAAAATACTGAAGCCTTTCATAACCACCCATAATTATGCACTGAGTGTACAAAACGTTAGGAACACCTTCCTAATATTGAGTTCCACCTCCTTTTGCCCTAAGAACAGCCTCAATTCATTGGGGCATGCACTCTACAAGGTATTGAAAGCGTTCCACAGGGATGCTGGCCCATGTTGACTCCAATGCTTCCCATAGTTGTGTCATGTTGGCTGGATGTCCTTTGGGAGGTGGACCATTCTTGATACACACGGGGAAACTGTTGAGTGTGAAAAACCCAGCAGCGCTGCAGTTCTTGACACACTCAAACCGGTGCACCTGGCACCTACTATCATACCCTGTTCAAAGGCACTCCACAATCCATGTCTCAATTGTCTCAAGGCTTAGAAATCCTTCTTTAACCTGTCTCCTCCCCTTCTGCTACACTGATTTGAAGTGGATTTAACAGATGACACCAATAAGGGATCATAGCTTTCACCTGGATTCACCTGGTCAGTCTGTCATGGAAAGAGCATGTTTTGTACACTCAGTGTATACAATAGTAGTAATAGTAGTCTTGTTAGTGTTGATGGTGGTAGCAGTAGATGTAGATGTAGCAATAGAAGTAACAGTAGTATCCTGTGTCTGCAATGCTTAGAGGCAGAAAAGAGCAGCTATATGAAATAATGATTGACGCTTTAGCATATATGTCATTCCCCTTTACCGAGGATGTGTCTACAAGGCTATATCAGTGCCATGTGAACTGCTCTGCTCTGGGCAGAGGGGAAGTATTAGGAGCATCAGTCACCGCAAATCAATTTAAATGGGCAAACAATGGTCTCAAACGGGAGGAAACAGCAATAGTATCTGTTGTTTAGCTGAAAGCTATGATTTGCTATGACTTAATAACAGGGTTGATATACTAAATTGTGAATATTCCACACCACCGTGACATTTACATTTGAGTCATTTAGCAGACTTTTCAGGAGTAATTAGGTTTAAGTGCCTTGCTCAAGGACACGTCGACAGATTCTTCACCTAGTCAGCTGAGGGATTCGAACCAGTGACCTTTTGTTTACTGGCCCAACGCCCTTAACCGCTAGGCTACCTGCCACGGTTATGTTAATACACCGTCAGTGATGCAGGATAAGGGTGCAATGGACCCACCAAGCAGGAACCACCTAACAGATTGCACTTGAGAGCAATATGAAGCAAACAGAGTGAATGACTTATTTGTCTGGCGATATATGGACAAGGATCATTGTGTATATTACAATGGCCGCAGGGGATGAGTAATACACGTTTTATTTCCGAGGTAATTTTTATTTCGTTCAGAATGCACCGTTTTCCCAGTTATTTTTCTATGACCTCTTACTAGCTCAGTAACTGCTTGCTGATGAGTTGCCCTGCTTACATGCATGAGAAGGAATTATAAGGCTTCACTGGACTCCAATGGATCTGTGTAGTCGCTTCGCCACAAGCTATACACATTTGATTCTGAAAATAGATGTGGGACAATTTTTTTCCCCCTATCCTGACCCTGTTGTCATCCATTGTATAATGCACCCAGTCACGTGTCAATAGTAAAACATTTAGTGATAACGGATTCAGTGATAAAGCATTTAGTGATAAAGCATTCAGTCTTTGATCAGTGGAATTTTTTTCTTCGACCAATGCAGTGCAGAGCTGTCATCCAACAGTGTGAGGCCTGTCATACTGCACAATACACCCAACCTATAGTATCAAACTAGTTTGGTATCTAGGGAGAATCAATGAAATAGCATCGCTTCGTGTGATGATCATACATTGCTTTATGAGAGATTTCGAAAAAGAAAATTGCATGGGTGAGAAAATAAGTTTGCTCATTTGAGGAAAACAAGTATTTCATTGATGCTGCCTCTTCTTTGGTAAAAAACATGGATCAAATCTATTCTAGGCCATACCCAAGTGTATTATTTAAACAGATGAAGTTTTCTACCTTACCTTGTATATGAGGTATTGTGGCCATGTAAACAAGATTCCAATGTTCACTAGGCCATGCATGTTTTAAAGAAAATGAATTCCTCACATCTCCAGCTCCTTCCAAGATAACTGTATTCTCCCTTCATGCATATGATACATCAATAAAGGCAATTGTATTCAGTTTAAAGTTCATTTTCTATACTGTGAGAATTGCATTGACCTTATGATCCAGGATTAAAAGTATATGCACAGTTCTGAAAGAATGGGTAAATGTACTTTCTGTAATAGGAGGCCATGCTTTGTCTGTCTGAAGGGACAGATAATCTACTCAAAGTAGTTAAGATACTTATAGCAAAAATATATAAACAGATACTTTATTGATTTAACCTATGTTTTTATTATTTTCCAAGTCAATTACATTTTGGTAACATCTCTCGCTCTCTCCCTCCCTACCTCTTTTCCCTCCCTCCCTCCCTCTCTCCCTCCATCCCTCCCTCCTCTTTCTGTTTTGCAGATACACCGGACAGAAAATGCTACCCTGCATCGTTTTCCTTTGCTCTTTTTTCGCTGCTGCTTGTTTCCAAGACATCCAGCCCTCCAAGGCATTTCTGAGCGAATCCTGTGACTCATTGTGTACTTGTGAAGAAAAAGATGGCATCCTGTATCTTAACTGTGAGGAGAGAAATATCAGCAAGATCTCCCAAATCAAAGTGCCGTCAGCTCTACCTTTCCATCTCAATCTGTACAAAAACGACTTGGTGGAGTTGTGTGCAGAAGACTTGGAAGGTTTAAAGAATGCCGTTTCGCTTCATCTCGGGGCTAATAGCATACAAGAGCTTGAACCTGGGGTCTTCAGTGCACTGGGCTCCCTGAAGAAGCTCCACATCAACAGTAATTTCCTGGTCATGTTGAAAGAAGACACTTTTCACGGCTTGGTAAATTTGGAGTTTCTCCAGGCGGACACAAACTTCATTCGCGTGGTCGAGCCGGGGGCATTCAACAAACTCATCCGCCTCAAAGTTCTGATCCTCAATGACAACACCATCAAGTTTCTTCCCAGCAATATTTTCCGGTTTGTTCCGCTCACCCACTTGGACCTGCGGGGGAACCAGTTACAGACCCTGCCTTACGTTGGCTTCCTGGAGCACATTGGGCGGATCATGGAGCTTCTTCTGGAGGACAACGACTGGATGTGCGATTGTGAGATCCTTCACCTAAAGATCTGGATGGAGAACATGCGGGCCCAGTCGGCCATTGGGGAGGTGGTCTGCAGCAGCCCCCACCATCTCAGGGGCACCATCCTGGCCAAAATCAAGCGGGATGTTCTCTGCCCCTCTCACGCCGATATCAACTTAGAGGAGCCTTCCAAGTCACTGGACATGGTGGTCACTCCGTCTTCCAAAGTGGCAGAGATTCCGAAGTTGGAGGACGCCAAGGATGACGCAAAGATTCCGACACCTGCTTATGTTCCAGGGAGTCCTTGTGTGGAGCACTGTTCTTGTCACAATCACCCTGTGGCTGGGTTTTTAATGCATTGTCAGGACAGAGGGATTCAGCGGATATCAGATATTGGAATACTTGAGCAAAGCCCCACCAAGCTGGTGCTCACAGGAAATATGATTCAGAGACTGTTAAAATATGACTTTGTCACATATGACGGTTTGGAGTTATTAAATTTGGCCAACAATCGAATCGATTACGTTGACAATGAAACTTTTCTCAGCTTAAGCAATTTGAAAAAACTTTATCTCAACGGCAACAGAATTGAAACGCTTTCCGCGACCATGTTCATTGGACTCCACAACCTTGAATACCTATATTTGGAATACAACATTATCAAAGAAATTGTTCCAGGAGCTTTTAATCCTTTGCCAAATCTCAAACTCTTGTCTTTGAATAACAATCTGCTGACTAGTCTCCCATTGCAGATATTTCGCAACGTGCCCCTCACCAAACTGAACCTGAGGAAAAATCTGCTCATTCACCTGCCCGTTAGCAACGTGCTGGACCAGCTTGACTCTTTAGAGCAGATTTATTTAGAGGACAACCCCTGGGACTGCAGCTGTGACTTAGTCAGTCTCAAACAGTGGGTTGAGAAGCTGAGGAAGGACACAGTCATAGGTTCCATTTTGTGTCACACACCGAGAAAAGTGGCAAAGGCTGAGCTGAGGGCCCTCAGAAATGAGTTGCTGTGCCCCGGCCTGGTGACCTACTCCTTGCCCACAGACGAGGACGAGAGTGTGACAAGCACAGTGGCGATTGACGGCGCTAGGAGCGGTTTCTTCAGCTCCATCATGGACTCAGTTCCGCTCTCCGTTCTGATCCTTAGCTTGCTCGTCATCTTCCTCATGGTCATCTTCTGTTCGGCGGGCATCGTGGTGTACCTCGTGCACAGACGGCGAAGGAGAGTGAAGAAGAAACAGGCGGAAGGAGCAGCCGCGGGAGAGCAGCAGCCCCATCCACCTGCAATACAGCATGTACGGCCAGAAAACCACCCACCACACACTGGCACAGAGGACAGGAAGCCCTGTGTACGACGAGCGCTCACACAGCCCCATCGTCCAGATCTGCCGCAACCCCACCTACTGCGCTCAGCATAAAGAATATGACACCGACCTCGATGAACTGGACGAACCAAAGCACATCTGTCGTAGCATCATGGAGACAGAGAATACTTCCCCTCTCACAGGCTCTAATTTGAAGTTCAGAGCTGTGACGTCAGACTGCCCAACTGAGTTCGTAACACTCGGAGATGCGAGCTCCCTCTATAAAAACATACTAGAGAGGGAGAGGGTTAGGGAGCTGCAGCAGCTCGGAATTACGGAATACCTCAGAAAAAACATGTCCCAGCTGCAACCAACGGTAGAGATGCAGGTCCCAGGACACCACGAGGAACTGAAATTAATGGAGACTATTATGTTGTCGGGACCGCGGAAGGTCATGGTGGAACAAACGAAAAATGAGTACTTTGAACTCAAAGCTAACCTACACACCGAGCCAGATTATTTGGAGGTTCTGGAGCATCAAACTGCATTTAACTGATATAAAAAGACAACTCATGGTTTTATATTCAACTCGAGAAGTGCCTTGTCCAAAACTGCCCTCTAATATGTTCACAGTCTAAGACCTACATATCCCACAGCGGTCTTGGACATACAAGTCATTTGTAGCACAGAATATACTGTATAATGATCTATTTTCTTGTTATTTTGTTGTCCTATAGACAGACAGCACTTGAAGTTGCTGATATAACAGATATCTTGCCCAAATGTAATTATCTGGTAGAAAGGCAAATAGGTACTGCAGGGGTATGTTTTTTTTAACCAGTTGAGCTTAGATCTTTGGCAGGCCTCAATGCTTTCCATCAACTATGTCAGGCTGTTTCAATCATATGCCATAATCAGCATGCTCAAAGTGCCATAGACTTAACAAAATGCCAACGTGTTCTGGGTCTCAATGATGGAGTGCACATTAGTGCTATCATTCATTAGATTTAGCCCCTGCGTTATTTCAATACCACATTTTGTATTCCAACCAGTGGGAACGTGTTGATACAAATCAATTTTCCCAAAACATAGCACTTAAAAGTCCCAGTACATATATAAATCATATCTTGTATCTGTAAAAAAAAAAATGCATTGCACTAATCAAACACCATTTAAAAGATGGTGCATGACAATCAATTTACTGTTGAACAACACTTCCTGTTTATTGTTGTTCTTTTCCTACTATTGAAGGGGACATAACTACTGAGGTGTTTAAGAACCTTTGTTTGAGTGTCATTTTTACAAATCACATCCGACCAGTTTCTCTCAGCATGATAAATGTTCAGGATATGCGTTCTTTATTATTCTGACTGAGTAAGCAACCCTGTTCAACTCTAAAAATGTTTTATGTAAGCTTTATTTTATACCAATGTAGATTACATTATTTATTCTGTACATTTTGTATATATGTCACACATTCTATGTTATTTTGTGCCTTCAGTGTTGTCCAGTTGAAAATGTATTAATTGTAAATAAAGAATTGCAATACTGCAAATATTAAACAATTCAGATTCAATACAATAGATAAGCTTGCAGGTATATTGCAGAGCTTGTTGCAAAAAACAACTTTCTGTCATTATCAGTTGAGCATAAAAAGTCAGTGGAAAGTGACCAAACATCTAATATTCTAGCACATTACAGTACATGCTCAACATGGGAGTGGGTGAAATCATGATGCTATTCTACACAGAGGGCACTTAAGATAGTAATGAAGTTACATTGTTATTCACACTCTGTTATGCATGTCCTCAATGCTGCTGCATGTTCTATATTCCTCCCATGGACATACAGTACTGCATTCTATACCATCTGAGTGCATGTTTGAATAAATCAAGCTGATAGATAGGTTCATCCTGGTCATTTTACACTAAGTAGAATTTAATATGAATTGCTATATGGGGTATATCCACACATACGCACACACTGAAAATATATATTGTGTCAAATCCATGCTCAAGCCCTGCTTCCTTAGTCACTCCCTCATTGCCCAATATGGCATGTCAAGTCTTTCCAGTTCTTTGCCATGCAAACGCAAGTCTGTAATTTCCCCCTTGCATTATTGGACACCCTTCTGAGATTGTTTATCCACAGTGCTTAATTACTGCACACAATGGGGTATAGAGAATTCCCTCTGCACTGCTCCACACGACTTCCATTTTCATCCTAGCTGGTGATTTAGTAGGCTGTTCCGGTGCTTCCATTATACATCATAATTTATAGAACTACAACTGCTCACACAGCCCCCCTCGGTGAACTGGGGTTGGAATATGGACACAGCAGTAAGGCTTGGGATTTTCTCCTTTGAGAATTAAGGAAAATGTGCGCCGGTAGGTCTTTCGGCGTGACGTTTAGCAAAGTGCAAAACAATGTTCACTTTGGAGGGAAATGTTTTCTGTATTTTGTGCTCATGAAACCGTTGTGGATGTTAATATTTCAGCAATGGAAGTCGAAGTTGGAAGTCGAAACGGCTCAACATACAGAGTGCCGATTAGAAAATAAAAAAAGGTGTATTTAATGTCAAGATTGGAGGAGAGATAAAATATGTATGCAGTGATTGTCTGACTGGTTCCACCTTTAGTCTATATGAAATGAATCCAGCCCAATGCCTACTATGAATGACTAAGCATGAGGGCAAGGAGCTAACAATGGAAAATTCTAAACATGTGCAGGTATATTATTTCCAGATGCTGTGTTTTGGTTCAAACTAGCATGTACAGTAGTACATTATACATGCAATATAAACCATGATGACTTACTCATATCTGTGTGGTGAAAAATAATACAAAAGCAAATATTTGCTATGGGAGGAGACCATGGCATAGGAAATGTCCCAGTTATGTTTATATAGTAGTTCAAACTTCAAATCTGTGATTATACGAGACCTTGACCGACTTGAAACCTCAAGTTCAGCTACTGACATGCCGACAGTTCAGTCTTTGGAGGACGTCACAAAATATACATACTATAGGCACTGCCACTGACAGCCTGAACTAAAAGAAAAGCTGACATTAATATTGGAACACACACAAGACGTAGGCCTCTACTGTAAAATCAATCTTACAATACATTTATTTTAATCTAGAAATCAACTATAGTTCCCCATGTCAGAGTAACTACATGAAAGTATCAATGCTGAATATCTTACCCCTCTCCTTTGTACTCCAGAAAAGGTAAATTTTATTTCAGTAATATACCTACTTGTATAGCTTGCCAAAGTCAATCATATGATCCATAAATAGAGTGGGATGTGAAATTGCCAACCCGTTTGCTAACTTTTCAGTGGATCTCTAGACAGTAGACTTCGTAAAGTAACTAACGCCCACTGGCTAATATCTTGTCTTTACCATCTTGTATTACAGAATGCCCTCTGCCCTGCAGTTTTGAGCAGTACACTGGTACCTATAGTTCCACTATGACCCAGCTGAGAGTTACAGTATTTGTACCGTATCACTGCTCTCATTGGTGTAGAGAAGCTAGACTCATGACCCCAAATGTAACTGTAATTATGAATAGTGCATCGTCTTTTGGTTTGGACAAGAGCACTCTACCAGAAATGGTCTAGTTGGATTATATAAACATTTGAAAGGAAGGCACCAGGGTGACTGCTGTTTATATACTCCTACTTAACAAAGTTATCAGAACATCAACGTTTCACATGTAGTCACAAAACAGACAACTGAATTTCAACCCCAGTAATATGAGTGGATTTACGGCCAATTTAGAGGTTTGTTTGTAGGTGATGTCACCTCATTATTTGTAGAACGCTCCGACCTTGCACCACAGTAAACATTCTGAAAAAGCTCTATTTAGCCACTCTAACGCGTCAGTCGATACGATACACTTTTTTTATGCTTGAGTTCATCCATTGAAGTGAATTCCACAGAGGTTTCATTAGAGCACATTATTGATTTTCATCTTGCCCATGAATAGTTCAGGCTATCAACAGCCCCTTATACAGTAAGCTAATGAATCCATAGCCTTTAGTGAAGCCAAATGCATAAATGCATTCAACTTTTAATGTATGCCGCAACAGGGAACCTTCATCAATATATTATGATAACCTTCATATGGGTTCTTTAACCTGGAGGAGTAGCTAACATTAGCTAGCTAGAGATTAGCTTAGACACCGCATAAATCCATATAAATTATGGAAAATTCATAGAAAGCTATTTTCAGTGAGACTGGAGTGTAAAGCACCCTTTTTTATACCTGACCGATGATGCAATTACATGTTTAATGGTTTGCCAACATATTACTATCTGTGCTCGCGCCCAGCTATCTCATTCACAGGCCACAGTTACGCACAGCACAAAGAGATGGCTTGCATGTCTCTCTCTTTCTCTCTCTCTCTCTCTCTCTCTCTCTCTCTCTCTCTCTCTCTCTCTCTCTCTCTCTCTCTCTTCCTCTCTCTCGATCTCTCTCTCTTCCTCTCTATCTCTCTCTTCCTCTCTCTCTCTTCCTCTCGCAATCCATCTGCTTTGTTCTTTCTGTTTTATGGGGTGTGGATGTTGAGGCTTTCTGTATGGGGAATGCTCATAGCTCTGCAGCAATGTTCTGGCAAACATGCCTTAGATCTTGTCTGTGTTTCATCACTTTGGAGGAATCCGTTTTCTCTGTATTTTCAATCGGCTATCACATGGTATTGGCTTGCAGCAACCTGAGGCAGGATTGTACATCTTCTGTTTTAAAACAGCTAATCCTGATAAATGTATGTCATTTGTAGATATAGATTATTGAATGCATCATTCATTTTGAGCGTTGTTTTTTTGTAAACCTATGCAAAAGGTAAAGGTTGGAGTCATTAGTGTCACGACTTCCACCGAGGCTGCCTCCCCTCCTTGTCCGGGCAGGTTTCGGCGTTCGGCGTCACCGGCTTACTAGCTACTGCCGATCCATTTATCATCACTCCATTTGTCTTGTCTTCAATCACACACACCTGGTCCTTATTCCCTCATTAGTCATGGTATAAGTGTTCCCTCTGCTTCCTTGTCTGTGTGGGGGATTGTTTATTGTGGAGGTTAGTGAAGCTCGGTGGAGCTCATGTATTGTGTTTC